ATAGGCAGATCGATAGATAGATAGGTAGATAGATACATAGATACATAGATACATAGATAGATAGTCAGAGAAAGAGAGAGAAAGAGAGGAGACCTCAAGCACCTTTCGGTCCATCAGTGGCTTCGCTTTGCCATCCCTGATTCACAACCACCAACCTCTCCTATAGGTTTCCTATTTTTGAAACTTCCGCCACCGCCTTGTGCGGTACTACTGGTATCATCATCATTTTGTGAAGTTATGGTTAATCATCACTTAAAAAAATAGCATCCCCAAACCCACACAGCCCTAAACCAATTTTAAAGGGCTATTGCAACCCAATTTCTACGAGCGGAACATATATGGAATATGAAAAACCAATCGAAAACCCGTCGAAAACCCGTAGTTTCCCTACAAAATGATCAAGAAGTTGGTGATTTTCAATGTCGTTTCGTTGGTTAACCCCAGGGTAAATCCCTATTAATCCCCATTCATTGATGGTAAAATCATTGAACATCCTAATAGTTGCTTGATAATGGCCCCCACCATAAAAACGCTCTTATGGAAATCCCCAAATATATAAATATCCACACATCGATAGGTTGACTGAGCAAATATCCTCTTATATAATTCATGGTCTCAGCACATCCCCATGTGATGGTTAGATACATATTGATGCCGAACTCCTGTCTTTATTCGATGCATAAATCTCCATGTTCGATGGTTAAAGTTAAATCATCTTAACAGGCCCCAAACACAAACAAGTGGGTGAAATGGGTAAATAAAGGGAGGTGGCATGGACCAATTCTGCTAAATGCCAATTGTTCATTGTTCATTTCATGTTAATTTCAACATATTTCAGATTCTATATAATTTTTGCAATTTTGCTATGGTGAACTTCATGTTTCAGATTTTATGACAGTTATTTGCATGAGATTTACACGTTTGTTGGTTGTTGTTTCCCGAAGGCGACCAGAAGTCAACTGGATTCGTTGCGTGACGCGCCAATAATCCGTCGTTGCTTCCGCCAGCTGCTTCTGCACTTGCTCCACCTGCAGGCGACACAGGATGAAAAATTACCCTATGGTAACTTCAATAGTTTGAATATTATTATATATATAATTATGTATATATATATATATATATTACATTGTATCTTTTTATATATCTGGTTGGTGGTACACCTATCCCTCTGAAAAATATGACTTCGTCAGTTGGGATGATGAAATTCCCAGCTGAATGGAAAAATAACACATGTTCCAAACCACCAACCCAGATATAGTAGGCTGTGGCAGCCATGACCCATTTATAGACGACTTATCTATTGTTTTCTAAATATAGGTAATTCAATAGTTTGCGAACTGGAAACTATGACTCATTTCTATAGAGAATTCCCCGATTAAAATTATATGGTGATTTTCCAACAACATCATGTCAAATTACGAGAGCATAATCATTTTGGGATCAAATGCATCATTGTTCCACCATTTGTAGCTACGAGTATTGAAAGTCGCGCCACAAAAAAAAAACTGGGAGAACCTTATATATTTCAAGACAATATTTGTTTCAAGATGTTTCAAGATATATAAAATATGTTCAAACTTCTGTGGAGCTGCTTCAAGCGTGACCATTCGGATGCCGAGACATTACCCACAAGATATTCAATATTCAAACCCAGTTGGCCCAGTTGCAGGGAGAAATGCAGAAAAAAAAACGGAAAACAAATGGCAACTACAAGCAATTCCGCTCTCTTCCCCATAATATTAAACCCCCCCAGAAACCAAGGTTTTGGCAAGAATTTACCCAAACAAATGGGACCATACAGTGGGGGTGTTCAATATTACAGAGGTGGGATTATGTAAAACATGTTTTTGAGGTATCCATACTTGCACCGATCATTTTGACCACCAAAAATGGGGGCCAAAACACGTGAACATCTTCGGAAAACACGTGAATCAGGTAAGACTCTTATTGTTTTATCATGGTTTATATCACATTTTTCACATGTGCCAGGGACAAAACATAGTATATGATGCTTTTTCGGTATACGGTATGTGGTGTGGTCATCCAACAATTTTAGTCGCTGATGGATTGATCATCCCCTCAACGATGAGAGGATGACCCCAAGTTTTATGGCACATAACTATCATGATGTTTATCCATATGTCATATAATAATATGTGTCCCAAAATTGATTTCCATTGTATCCCCATTGAAACAATGGTTAAATCATTATTAAAGGGCCCCATTCATATAATACTGGTTGGTGGTTGCTGTGTTAAAATGGCTGATGTTAAACTTCATTGGACGGGGGGTTGGTGGTTGCTGTGTTAAATGTGTTCTTAACGTGGTGCACACTACGGATGCTACGCTACGGCACGTTCTCTTCAAGTTAACACAACTACGCGGATGCTACGTTGACTGGGTGGGGGGGTGGGTGGGGGGTGGGTGGGTGGGTGGGGGGGGGATGTTAACGTTCATTGGACTTGCACACTTACGTGATGCTACGCTACTGCACGTTCTC